GGATGTCTGGGAAGGATTTTAATTCTCCATCACTGGTGAAGTTGAATTTGGCTGGGTAGGAAATTGTTAGTTGAAATTGTTTATCTTTGAGGCTTTTGAATATTGAACTCCAGTTCCTTTTTGCTTGGAGTGTTTCTGCCGATAGGTCTGCTGCTATTCTGATTGGTTTTCCCTGGTAGATAGTCTGGCCTTTCTCTCTTTGTTTCTTTTTTTGAGTTGGAGTCTCACACTGTTGCCCAGACTGGAGTGGAGTGGCCGCTCCCAGCCACCGCAGTTTCAACCTGCTGGGCTCTGGCGATCCTTCCGCCTCAGCCTTCCAAGTAGCCAGAATTACAGGCATGCACTACCACGCCCGGCTGATCTTTTGATTTATTGTAGAGATGAGGTCTCGCTGCCCAGGCGGGTCTCAAACCTGCGGGCTCAAGCAATCTACTCACCTCAGCCTCCAAAAGGCGCGGGATTATAGGCTGAGCCACCGAGCCTGGCTTGGCCTTTCTCTCTTGCTGTCTTTAGGATTTTATGTCTACTTTGTGTAGGCAAATTACTATGTATCTAGGGTTTCGTCTTCTCATTTGATGTCTTGTGTGGGTTCTCTGTGTCTGTTGTGTTTGACTGATCACAGATGGGGAAAGTTTTCTCAGATAACTTCCTGGAATACTTGTTCCAAGGTGTTCTCCATTTCTTTTTCTTCTTCTGGGATGCCAACCAGACATAGGCTCAGCTTGTTGATATAATCACACATCTCTTACTGTAGGCTTTGTTCTTTCTGAGTTTTCTCTCTGTTTTTTGCAGATCAGGTTAATTGCATGTTCTGGTCTTCAAGTTCTGAAATTCTTTTTATTTTTATTTTTTGAGTTGGAGTCTCACTCTGTTGCCCAGTCTGGAGTGCAGTAACATACTAATGGCCACTGCATTCTTGACCTGCTGTGTTCCGGTGATCCTTCCACTTCAGCCTTCCAAGTAGCTGGAACTACAGGCTCGCGTCACCACATCCAGGTAATTTTTTTTATTTATTGTAGAGATGAGGTCTCACAAGTTGCCCAGGCTGGTCTCGAACTTATGGGCTCAGGCAATCCTCTCACCTCAGCCTCCCCAAGTACTAGGATTATAGGCGTGAGCCACTGCGCCCGGTCCAAGTTCTGAGATTCGTCTGGTAGATTAATTCTGCTTTCCATGCTTGTCATCTTGTTATTTCCTGGATGAAATTTTTTATGGCCAAAGTCTCTGTTACAAGCTATTTCAGTGTTGCATCTTGTCTTTCTTGAGTCTTATTCACTCTTTCCATCCATTCCCTAATCCCTGTCATATTCTGAGGCCAGTCTTTGGTGACTTCCATTGTTTGGGATCCAAGGTCTGATTTTTCAGGCATTTTCTCTTTGTCACACTTGAAATTACTTGAGGTCTTCCACTGGCTTTTCTTCATTTGTGGCAGATCTCTTGCTTTTCTCTTTAGTTCTGTTATTCAGTGGCAGTGGGAGAGGTTTTCATTTCTGATGTTTGCTCAGCCCTCTTTTCTTCCCTGATCTGGGCTCTGGATTTGTTCTATTTTGAAATAGTACACTGATCTCTTTGGAGGTCTTCTTCATCCTTTTATGACCACACCCTTTGTCCTGCAGCTGAATCAGGGTAGGGGGTGGAATGCACTTGCCTATCCCTCTGAAGTTTGTGCTTTCAGGATATTCCCTCTGGGTCATGATCAACCTGAGTAGTTGATCCACCTGAGTAGTTGATCCGTGGTTAGCTAGTTAGAGAACTTCCCTCCCCCATTTTTAAGATGGTGGCAGGGTGCTTCTCTCGTCTTCTCCAGTGGAACTCTGCCTCTGGGGCTCCCTCCGCAGGCCTTACTGCCAGTGTCTGGCCAGGCACTGAAGTGTTGAGGCAAAGCACACAGTCAGCAGTCTCTCCCACTGCAGTGGTGAGGCAGAGCCTGGAGCTGGTAGTCTCTGTTCACAACTTCTTTGCACAAAAACTTTGGCCAGTTAAAAAAAAAATGGCACTCATCTTCTGTGACCTGAGAAGTGCTAAGGACCAAGCAGAGCAGTTGCAGCACCAGCTGCTTCACCAGGAGGGCCCCGGCCACTTGCTCACAATCCCCCACTTAGTCTGTCTCAGCATCTTCTACCCAATAAGGGTTTTATTGGTTAAAAAAAATGGTGTTCAGCATCTGCATCCTAGGAATTGCTAGGGTTCAAGCCAAGCAGTGGCGGCACCTGCTGCTGCAGCAGGAAAGCCCTGGCTGCTTGCTCCCAAGCCCTTACTCAGTCAGTCACTCACATACCCACTCACTCACCAACACGTACACACAAAATTTTCCATACACTCATTCACTCACACCGGGACTTGCATGGTCTAACTGGCTCAGCTGCCATCTTTCCAAGGCAGGGGAAGATGTTGTAGAGATGAGGTCACGCCAAATTGCCCAGGCTGGTCTCAAACCCCTAGGTTCGGGCAGTTCTCTCACCTCCACCTCCTAAAGCGCTGAGATCACAGGCATAAGCCACTACGCCCAGCTGGAGTGCTATTTGTATGTGTGCATATAACCAAGCTGGGCATTTTAGATGAAGAACAATTATCCTTCTTTGAAATTAGTTTACTAAGCCAGGCTCAGTGACTCAGCCTGTAATCCCGTGCTTTGGGAGGCTGAGGTGAGTGGATTGCCTGAGTCTGCCTGGGCAACTTGGCGAGACCTCATCTCTACAATAAATAAAAAAATTAGCTTGGTGTGGTAGCCTGTAGTTCCAGCTACTTGGAAGACTGAGGCGGAAGGATCACCAGAGGCCAGCGGGTTGAGGCTGCGGTGGCCGGGAGCAGCCACTGCACTCCAG